TATGAGATGGGAGATCCTAAAATTGATGAAGATGACATGCTTATAGAAAATTTCTCCATCCATCATGCTTTAAAATGAAGGGATATGCTGCACGTGATGAAGTTGATGATGATGACTTGCCATTGGAGGTACTATGGGGACTACCAGATTTTCAAATACAAGGTATAACTAAAGTTGACGAGAATGATTTGCCATTGGGATTAAAATGGACATTACCAAGCTATCAAGTATAGGATGAACAATACAATCTATATGAGCAAATATACAATCCAAGTTGGGGGCAATACCCAAATCTCTATTGGCTGAAATGTAAATTATTGAAAATATCACTAATCCTCAACAAGAAAAGGGGCCTTCTCATTAAAATTTTCTTATGCAGTTGTCCGAAATTTGGGATAGTAGACCGATCATTCAACTAGAAGAACCAACAACAAAAGAAGAAAATACAGAGACCGATGAATTAATAATAATGGAGCCAATAGAATTAGTATCATTTAAAGAAAAAGGAATCACCATGCTACCTTCCAACCTCATCGTTTGTTCAAATATAGAGTTTGTGATTAAACATGACGAACTAATTAAATTTTACATTGTTGAGTTCAGGAAGAAGACAAGTCATACTACATTGAGATGACAAGGTCAAAGTTTGGAAGAAAACTGGTGCAAAGTCAACTTAAGCAAATTAAGTCGGACCTCCAAAATTATATTCAAAGTGTACTAGCTCAAAAGTCGACGTTGAAACTATAAATCAAGAACTTAATGAGAAGTAACTCATTTTTCTAACATTTAACTCTTAATTTTAGTTATTGCATGACCTATAAATAAGTATATTTAGGATTGACATCCTAGCACCACAGCCAAAACATAACTTAATTAATTAATTAATTAAATTTTGTTGACTGCAATTTAGCTAAAGGGCCTGTTTGCCGCGTTCAAACAATTGAAAATTTTTTTTTATTATTATTTTAAAATTTTAATAAGTTTTAATTCCTAATCTTCAAAGTTCTCTCCCTCCTTCACATATTGGACATCCAAATTCACACACTCGCCAACTTATTTCATCATTTATATTCAATGTTTTAAAATTATGAAGAGTTCAAGTTTCACTCAAAAATATTAATAATTATAATCACGAGATTCTTTTTTTCCAACTCCTCTACATTTTTTATATTAAATTGAGATAGATAGGGTAGGCAGTTGAGGACTTACATTTGATGAGATATTAAATATTATTGCTTATCAATTGTTAAGAAAATTGGCACCAAGAACAAGAGATCCCTTTTGAACGAGGAGAAAGGAAAAGAAAGAAACATATAAATGTTCTAAAATCTGAAGGCCAATTGCATCGTCCAACAATTATATGATGAGTCTAAAATTTTTATAGGTGTAAATTGAGAACAACGTAAGAATTAAGTTTAGGGGTGAAAAATTTAGACTTGTAATTTAATATACATGAATGGTTTTCGTGTGATTAATTTTGGCCTAATTTTAAGTTAGAAAAAGTTCGGAAAAAAAATATATTTATGGTCCGTTTGATTGCAATGGTGGAAAATGGATGGAAAGAAAATGTTTTCCTGAGAATTGTAATTAATTGTGTTTGATTGGTATAATTTTCTACCTGGAAAATGTT